TTTCTCAACACATTCAATTAAAGGTATATATTCCCTAACTATAGCCTGGATAGTAATTTTATAGCTTCTGATGTGTTTATTATATCTTAATGATAAGGCTCAGATACAGTTAATATATGGTACTTGAATAAGCCTTGGTGAGTTGAATACAACTAGCAAAATACTACTGTAGGATACAATTATACATAGAGAGTTCAAAGTTTGGTCACTTCTAATCGGGCAGAAACTCACACGTGGATTTCCTTTTTCCAGATAGAGCCTCGAAGTCGGTGTTTATCGAGAAAAGAAAGGAGGATGCGCAATATTATTGATATCTCACAGCCACAAGAACGCATCCCTTAATCGGTGACTATGCTGGAGAGCTGACTAACCCTACATTGTTGTTAGTAACCAGATACCAAGGGATAGGATTCCACTGGCGTAACCATATAGGAACTGATGTACTTCCTGTTTTGTATGACAAGAACATTGCGGCGCCCGCATTCAAATGCGGTTTGCTCAATAATATATTCACGCTAAGTTCTCGGCAGTGGGGCCGACAAACAATCGACGTGTGTTTGAAGGTCAGACCGATCTTGAGAATGATTGTATGTCTCCGATCACCCTCTTTAACAATTCCTTTAGCACTCCGTATTATGTTCCTATCTTGCTATGCTTGGCAATTCACCGAAATAGTGAAATGCAGGGAAGAAGCAACGAGTGGGCAGACTTACCTTGGGGAATATCCGAAGATCGGAGAACGTGGCTTCGCTTTTACAATCAACTATCGGGTATGTCTGCCGACAGCATAGCACCAACAATGGACGATAACAAGGACCCTCCGGGAACATCGGCGTATGCTAATCAATAGGATTCAGCGATATGCCGACACTAATCATGAATGGATCCAGCCAAGACGATTAGACCCTACTTGGCGTCGGGCTATCGCGACCAACGATAAGAGTGCTATCAGACAATTAAGAGATGCCTATCTCAAGCATCGTGCTTGTGACTAATGCCAAACCCGTACTGTGATATAAAGAGGAAGATCGGCGCCATTCGAAATGAGGAGGACAGACTTATTTCTCCATGTTTCTTGGTACTCTCCTCTCGCTGGCAGCCGTCGTTACCGGCGCTGCCATCCCCAATGGGCAGACCCTTTCTCTCAATGAAATTCCCTACTACGTGAGCGGCATTCCTGTGTCAACTTTGCAAGGGCACAATACCTCTGCATATACCCAATCTTTGACAGAGGGCATCGATTTGGTGCCATTAACCGTCATTCGTGTAGACCCTAACACGAAGTTGGAGTCGCTGCTATCGGACTATGTTGAGCGCGATGATGTCTTCCAGAATGCTTTTCTGCGTGCAGTCTATCTCACATCGTCCACTGTTGATGCCATTGACTCCCAACTGAGCGACTATGCGTCATTTCTCAAACCTTCCGGCACCGAATTACTGCTTGTTGATTCGGATGTACACACTGCTTCCTCAAATTCCACCGTCAAGGTCCAGTTAACCGAGGAGCTGCCAAGTGGGCCGTATTTTGTCTCCTTGTATACCGGAAATGTGTTTAGAGCGTACCGGTTATACCCCGACGATAACCTGGCTTTCATTCAAGCAGCAATTAGTGACGAGAAGGGAGGCGTCCTTCCCCTACCAGCCGTAACAGAAAATGCGATGACCAAAGACGTCGCTGTGCCGTCACGTCTCTATTATACACCAACCCCAGAAAAGCCATTGGCCGGTCTGAGACTGGGTGTCAAAGACATCTACCATGTTAAAGGTCTGAAGACGAGTGGCGGCAGTCGTTCCTACTATTACCTATACGGAACACAAAATGACACTGCCCCGTCGATTCAGAGGCTCTTGGACTTAGGCGCCGTCTTTGTCGGTAAAACCGGGACTGTCCAGTTTGCCAATGGTGACCGGCCTACCGCCGACTGGGTGGATTTTCATTGTCCCTTTAACCCACGTGGAGATGGATATCAGGCACCCAGTGGCTCCTCTTCCGGTTCAGGTGCGGCTATTGCAGCATATGACTGGTTGGACCTTGCTGTTGGTAGTGACACTGGCGGTTCGATGCGTTCTCCAGCAGCCGTTCAAGGAATTTATGGCAACAGGCCATCGACTGGTGCTATCTCTCTGGATCATGTCTTGCCCCTCTCCCCGGCGCTGGATACAGCGGGTGTCTTCGCCCGAAGTGCCTCACTATGGGCCCATACTGTGAAAGCTTGGTATCCTCATTTCCGGCACAATTTTACGTCCTACCCTCGGCAACTGCTCCTGGCCGGTGGTGGATGGGATGGTAAGGGCATCAGCCCCGAGGCCCATCAAGGTCTGACCACATTCGTACGTGGGCTTGAAGGATTTCTCGGAACTAATCATACCGAAGTTGACGTGTCGCAGCGATGGCTTGACACACAATCCCCCAGTGCACCGAGCTTGGAAGAGATGCTCAACCTGACCTATGCCACCCTTACTTCTGTTGATCAATTCAACCACCTGGCCGTCCCGCTCTTTGCTGACTATAAAGCACTCCACCGCGGTCGCCAGCCTTTCATCAACCCTGGCCCATTAGCGCGTTGGCAGTGGGGTCAAGCCAATGGGGGAAACACCTCGTACGAGGCTGCCCTGCGTAACATGACTACTTTCCGAAACTGGTGGGAGAAGTCTGGGTATGGCCAATCTGACGAGGCCTCTTGCTCCAAGACGCTCTTCGTCAGTGTGTACTCGGTCGGCACGACCGACTACCGTAACCAATACTATGATGCACCCACTACACCACCACTGGGATTCTCGATCGGACGGATTGCGGTACTAGGTGGTGCACCTGAGGTTGTTGTCCCTGTGGGAGAGTCTCCATACAACAGTACTATCTCCTTACAGACCGAGTATTTACCCGTGAGTGTTGCGCTGCAGATGGCGCGAGGATGTGATCATGTCCTGGCTTCCTTGGTCGCAGGGCTCGAGAAGAAGGGGGTCCTCCGACCTGTGGGTACAGGCTCCCGGTTGTACTTCTAATGAAGTGTGCTGTTGTGAACACAAGATGGGGTTATTAGGACTATGTATATACTAAAGCAGCGGGATATATATAACGAAGGGTAATGACAATTCAGAGTTACTGTGTACTAAGTATCAGAAAGGAGAAGCGAACTCCTTGATAAGCTGACTGCTCAACATCAGCAGCATGCAGATAATCTCTTCATTTAGAAATATAGTATTCGCCCAACAACAAGTGCCGTGACACTGAGACACTGAGAATGTTTATGCCTAAGGCGACTGATTTCAGGCTGACGGCAATATCCCCTGTGACCGCCTTCGCATCTATTGCCGTACACGGTATTTCCATCCATGCGATTTACTTGTTGAAGTCAACCGCCATTCGCCCCGTGGCCTGTCCCTTTCGCAGTTTCTCTACTGCTTCAGGCAACCGGTCAATTGGATAGACTTCGCAGATTTGTTGAAGCTTCCCCCGCCGAGCAAAGTCCAACGCCGCCACCGTATCCTGTCGACTGCCCACCAAGGTCCCTTTGATTGTCAGATTCTTGAAGATGAAGGCATTGGGATCTCCCCCGATGTTCATTGCGCCAGTTGGACCCAGTCCGATACACATGACCACCGCTCCAATGCGATTGCCAACATATGATAACGCTGTTCGGTAGGCCGCAGGAGCTGTGACGAATACTCCGTGCGCCCCTACACCGTCTGTTGCTTCAATCACAGCTGCGGCAGGATCGGATGTTTCCATGAAATCGACGAAGACTTCTGCGCCCATCTCCAAAGCTAATGCCCTCTTTGATTCCCCTGCATCCACGACAACTGGACGCATGCCCATCGCCTTAGCGAGCTGCACGCCCTGAATACCCACCCCACCACCGCCGCCAGGAAACACAGCCCAATTTCCCGGCTTCAGCCCAGATTCCGTCAGAGAGCGATAGATGGTGGATGCGCTGCACATAATAGGGGCTGCAACCTCATCAGGAATGCCATCAGGGATGGGCGATGCGTATCGGGCGGGAGAGACAATATATTGTTGATAGGTCCCTATTCCGTCAGTGACCGACCTCGCGAAACAAGGCAATACGGCTATCAGGGAAAGGGGGTAGTGCCCTACCAGGTGCCATCAAGCCAGCGTGGATAGCGGTTCGGCAATACGTCTCCTTATCTCCCCAGCACAATTCACACGCACCGCACGTATCGAGGAGTGGCTTGATGCCCGCCCGATCGCCTAGCTTGAAGTTCTTCACATTTGCGCCAACTTTCACCACGATCCCAGCACCCTCGTGGCCCGGAGAGCGAACGCCAAAAGTTGACATCGGCGGAGTTCCTAGGTCGCCTTGCATCATATGGAGGTCTGAGGAGCAGATGCCGGTGATGTTCAAGCGGATTAAGATGTCATCGGGTCCTGGGGCAAAAGGTGTTATGAATGCTCTTCCATTCGCGTTGCGTACGGCTTACCTGGCTCCGGGACCGGCACCATCTCGACTTTAACCTCGAAGTTCGGACCTTCATTGACGACTACGCCTGCCTTACAGTGGGAGGGGATTTCGAAACCGGGAGAGGGCATTTCGCCAGACATTTTCATTGTAAATTGCGATAATCACCACGGTGCTGTATGCACAAGATGCGATCGGATTACAGGAGCCTGTCACTGCGCGATTGGAGACGTAAGACATAAGACATAGCGAGTACGGGAGCATATATCCTTCACTGCACAGCGGAATGTCGCCGCGATGTCCGATGTGCCCCAGCTTCCCCGCACAGGTGGGTGGAGTTCTGCATATTATGATATATCCGGATATCCGACCGCTGCACATCAATTGTGCTGTAATGTGCACGCCATGTCGTGTTTAGTGTTTATACCTTCACTCCAATGGTGTCGCTACGAGGACTTGTGTCGGTGACTACGACGCTTGGTGACACATCAAGGTTTAACTCATATTTTTAACGTTTCAAGGGAAACATCTACATTACAAATGCTCGTCAACTTATTCACAGTCATCCCAGTCAGTCGGGTGCTACTCGTATATCCCCCACCAAACCGTATAGAAGATCAACAGGGACATGAGTATCGTCAGAATACCTGCCCCCGCCCGATTGGCCGTGCTGGTAGTCATTCGGCGGCTATGGGGTTGGGGGTCTGTTGATTTGATTCCGCCACTAGGATCTCCCTTGCTGGTACCCCCGTTGTCCGCTGTCAGCGGAGGATCTACGCCCCCAACGAGGGTCGCTTGTATCACCTCCAGTGAAGACATCTGGACACCCACATCATCACTCTCATCCCACTTCCCTGAAGTCCATTTCATACCGCAGGTCGAGTGATCCGAGCCCCCGGTGCACGTTCGCGCTGCCGCACTTGCTGAAGTGCGTAACTTCGGCATCACTTGGTCAAAGATAAATGGAGCGACTTGAGCAGATGCTGCCATCCACCGGGCCAGGTACCCCTTGAACGACCGCTGATCAGTCTGGCAAGTGTTGATGGGCTCACAGGCTCGTTCGTACAAGACATCATTATGGAAGTATACCTTCGTGGCGTCAAGGATGCGTTGCGTTCGTTCCTTCCAGATGGGATCGCCATCGGTCTGACTCTCATTAGCCTGAATTTTTGTTATACTACAACAAGACACACTTACCAGGTTATACATGCTTGCGGCACCAAATAGATACACCCCGGAATTATACGTCCACTGAAGATAGTTGAACTCCGAACAGTTCTTGAGTTCGTCCGCCCCATCCAGGAACAGATAATCGTCGGTTATGAACCCGACTGACTCCGTCCAGTCCCATGCTCGAACAGCCCAATCGGCGTATGTTTGATTCCCTGTATACCTTGCCAAGCGCGCAGCCAAATTGAAAAAGCAACCGTTGGCAATGCTGTTTTTGTAATGATATCCGTTATTGAAGGTAAATATTTGCCACCTCAAGCCTCCTCCGCAGGTCTCAGGGCTCCATCGCGCGACCTGGGTGTTGAACACCGCTTGCACCATGGCTAACCACCCTGGTTGCCCTTCCGGTGGATTCGGAAAGTTTCGCTCGGCGGCTGACATGGCTGCAAAGGCCCAGAAGGCCTGGTCGTCATTGCCTTCGGCGTGTGTCTGGTTGGCAGGCATAAACGTCCCATCGTCGCCTGCTTGCCAGGTCACAGCCTCCATGATCATGTCATTCCACCGGTCGTCACCCGTGTAATACCAGTAATCAATCAGAGAGTTGAACATGGCGCCAGCTTCCCACCAATAATACGGAGCAGGTAAGACGCCGGGTACGTCGCCTGCACATATAGCAAACACGGGCCCAAGCCCGCCGCTTATTGTCAATCTTCGAAAGTCCGCACCGTATAGTAATGTAGATTCACTGTACCTGGATTCATGCCCGTGTAGTGAGAGAGCATGTTATTAGCGATCGCATAACTGGCCTGTTTCACCGATTCTGCCAGTGTTAGCAGCGTTCCAGCCCAATGGGGTCTGCAGCACCTCACCAGGATTCTCTACATCCATCTCGATAGCCTGTGCGCTGGCAAGCAGCGCCAGGATGGCACACCATTGTTTTCGCATTGTGAGTCGATTTTTAGACGATAGAGCTGACGGGCAAGATCAGTGTAAGAGTCCATTGAGTCCACCGAGATTATTATAATGGTCACCGGCATTCCAGTGATAGGAATGCAGTGGTTGCGTGGAAACACCCGTCGCATTCCGATGCGATACGTGATCGAGCTGAGCCAACTACATGAAACCCATATATCGTTGAAAACAAGTCGATACGCATTTTAGGACTTTACGGATCAACTTATATGTCATTCCCGCCGAATGAGCACAGGGGGCTCTCTACAAATGTGGATCGATGTACGACATCAATTGACGAATAGGGCAAGGCTACATTCCAACCAGAGCTCAAACAACAACAACCTGGAACACCACGCGACGAGTGCCGATCTCCTGTCTAATGATGCGCACTTGAGCGGATCATGTCTGTCGCGCGCTCGGCTACTGCATATGTCATTGCTTGGATATTACCCGACGTTTCCAAGGGAAAGATGCTGGCATCGACCACTCTTAAATTGCGCGTGCCATGCATCTTCAGTTGGGGGTCCACTACTCCGCCTAAGTCTGCGGGCATCACGGCATATGTGCCCACTGGATGGAAGTCGTGGAATAGACAATCTTTAACTACCTCCTTAGCTTTCTCCAGATCTGCCAGATCCACCGCCGCCTCAGGTACTCGAGCGCCGGGTTTGAGTAACGAGCTAAAAGGCTGCGTACCAGCGATCCTGTCCAGGAACTGAGTGTGGCGGGCGAGGACTTCTAAATCTAAGGGGTGAGATAGATATTTGGGGTCGTAGACGTGCTTCTCGCCCGGGTTGGCCGATCGGATATGTATAGATCCACGCGAAAAGGGATGATTGAGTAAGGCCATGATGCTGATGTAGTTCTCCGGCAAGTCCTTCGAGAGTGCATAGGCCATTGTACTCACTCCAGGCTTTACATTGACTTGTGAATTCAGGAACATATATTGCGCGGAGCCCGTCTGATCATCCCGGAGCATCTGTCGTAGGATGTTGTATTGCTGCTGCCGACCGGGCGAAAATTGTTCAACCTGCGGGCTGTCCAGATACTGCGTCAACAGATCATCTACCGCTCGCGTGGAACTTGTCCGTCGTGGTCAACAATTGGTAGATAGGCCACACTAACGGGCATGCCCGTCAAAGGACCAGGGCGGGTCTTTTCATAGAGCTCAACCAGAGGCTGGACCACACCTGGATGCCTGCAGAGATTTGCCCGTCTGCCACTTCGAAGTTAATGGTACACATACGATGATCCTGAAGATTCTCTCCGACTCCAGGTAGATCGAGCACCACCGGGATACTGTGTTTTTTCAATAGATCTGCGGCGCCAATGCCAGACAGATCCAGTAGCTGCGGGGAATTCAGAGTTCCGGCACTGATAAACACTTCACGCGTGGCAGAGACCGCCAGTTGCTCACCATCTTTGGTCTGAATCTGAACCCCCGTAGCAGTCACCTGGCCGTCGTCGGATTTCGTCAGGGCCACTCGCTCTACCATGGTTTCAGTGAACAGATGAGGTTTTTGCGCTGTGCGACGTCCGGGGCGTAGCAAGCCCCAGCATATCCCTGGTGGCCTGTTTCCCTGTCAACTGAGAGTGGCAGCGTAAACGGTCCCACGGTGCGGCCAGTGATCGGGTCTGCGTGAGTGTCCCAACCCAAGTGGGCAAACGTCTCATTCCAGGTCTGATTGAATGGGGTATAGACGTCAGGATGACAGACTGGGACTGGACCTTGATTGCCCTGATTGTCTGCCTTCATGTACTGGTCCAGAGACAGTAACGCACTGGTGGTCTCACTGGGCGGCGTGTACGTATGGAATTTACGCAGATATGGAGCCATGGCATCGGGCTCCCACCCGTCGTTGTCCAGGGATTCCCACGCCTCGAAGTTGGCGTGTGATGGATACGCCACTATGGAGAAATTCAATGCCGAAAAGCTACTAACTATCCAGCCTCGTGGCTGGCCCATTTGACGATTGTTTGCATGAACTTGGTTTGAGCGCTTGTCAGTAAGTGCCATGGCCCAGACACGTCAAACACGACTGACCTGTGGCTCGGTCAAGTAGTTCCAGTCGAAATCCGGATCTCCGAACATGGCGCCTAGTAGGCCCGGAGTCTCGACGTGCAGGTCTCCCATATGATTAGGCCCGGCTTCGACAAGGAGAACATTGGCAGTGGCATCTTCGCAGAGACGCGAGGCTAGCACTAGACCGCCAACTCCTGCGCTGACAATGATAAAGTTGTATGGTTGTTCGCTGGCGATCATGGTTGAGGGGCGCTCGCTGATCTAGCAACCGACCTGGACTGGTAATTCAGAAGCTGACGGACGGCTCTCTAGGCAACGTGGGCCATTTTATAACCGCAGGCAACTTGCACGAAACTTGCCTCGTTGGCAGGCCCTATTACGGCATAAGCAAACGGCTCAATCAGATCAGCGGGATCCTGCCTTTGGTCGTTGGGAGAAGTCGATCCTCACCTGCAACTCGGTGTCGATTAGTTCTAACGGCGGTATTTCATGATCGCGTTGCATCTACACGGGCGCCAGAGGACTCCCGGTGTTGAACTAATTTACTAGCGACGACTTTGTCCTTGAACGAAACCGACTCTATCATGCGTACAGCCGTTCACAGGGGGTGCATGGAGTATGACATGAAAACAAGAAGAATGAAGGTGTGGGCGTGAGCCCAGCTTCTATAAGAACCTATGGACAATCACGATCGGATAGGGTTCGGTAAGGTAAGACCAGTCTTACCCCACAATTCATTAAAGCCCGGAAATTGTGACAAACGAGTATGGGCCCGCGGCGTTGCACCCGATATCTTATTTTGCTCGCTTGGCTAATGCTACCCAACGACACTTTGACAGGCAAAGAATGGCGTTGTCTATGGTAACAGAAATACCACCAGGCACGCGGGTACTATCGGCAGGATAGCCGATTCTTCATCATGGTTCCATCGCTCCATCGGCATCGTGACATACTCTATGTAGCGTCACCGACGATCTCTCGGGATGACCCGAACACGATGTAACCATGCAGTGCACCGACACTGCTGCCTGTGAGATTCGAGTGGATCGGGGTCGCTTTCTGAATGGGTTGTTATTTCAACATAAGTTTCGAAATCCGGAGATTGCTTGCCAAGTGTAGGGTGTCTTGAACCTTTACGAAAGTATGTAACTTCAGCCCTTGCATATATTTCCTCGCTCGCGCACTTCTGGCCGTTCGCCCACGATCCTCAACCAATCTACGGTACATGGGGGTCATCCAGTAATATGCATATACGAGGTTTCCTCCCAGCGGTTGCTCTGCTGCCATTCAGCATAGCTTCTGTTACCTCCCCTGGTGACACGGCTGTGATTCCTGGATGGCATCTGCAATCCGCCCTTCACGCATCGAGTAACCTGACCGATCTCTCCCTCCCGACTGCTCACAATGTTGACTCCTGGTATCGGGTTGGCGCCCGGGCTACTGTCATGGCAGGGCTGATTGAAAGTGGTGTTTACAATGACACCCACCTATTCTACTCTAATAATCTGGCAACGGTCGACCAGGCTATTTTCCGCGTCCCGTGGCTATATCGCGAGGAGCTCAGCCTTCTCACGCCTCCGAAAGAACAACACATGTTCCTCGTCACTCACGGTATAACTTCCAAGGCGGACATTTACTTCAACGGAAAACAGATTGCCTCCAATGCTACCCAACAGGGATCATACGGTGGTCATCGCTATGATATCACACCCTTTGTTCGTACTGGAAAGAATGTCCTGCTTATCCAGGCTCATCCGACAAACTACCTCCGTGACTTTGCTCAGGGCTTCGTGGACTGGAACCCCTACCCGCCCGACAATGGAACGGGTGTATGGCGCGATGTGGAACTCAAGCAGACTGGACCGGTGTCTATGTCGTCGCCACGAATCTTAACGGACTTCACTGGCTTGCATACCGAGAATGTAACTGCCACCATTAAGGTGGACGTGGAAAACCATGAAGATCACATTGTCAGTGGTGCTGTGCATGGCACCGTCCAGACGAAGGACAATGCATCCCAGGCGGTCGCGTTTTCCAAGGAATTCAAATTAGAACCGCATAGGAACGCGACTATCTCGGTGAACGTACTGCTGAAGAATCCCAAGATATGGTGGCCAGCTATGTGGGGTCAACAGCCACTGTACACAGTTCAGGTTAAGACCACTGTCGGCCAGAATGAAGTCTCAGATATCGCACCACAAACGCGGTTCGGAATTCGACATGTTACGTCAAGAGTTAACTCGCATAACGACACCGAGTTCAGCGTCAATGGGTACCCGTTCCACGTCAGGGGAGGTGGCTATAGTCCGGACATGTTCCTCCGGTTCGACCTTGAGCATTTGCGGAAGATCTTCCGTTACATGCTGGATATGGGTCTGAATACGGTGCGTTTGGAAGGAAAACAAGAACACCCGGAATTGTATGACCTTGCTGATCGCATGGGATTGATGGTGATATCGGGATGGGAGTGCTGCGACAAATGGGAAGGATGGGATGTAAGTGGGACGCTTGCCTATAGTAGCTGCAATGGCTAACTGGTGCAGTACAACAACGAAGCGGATGGAGTTAAATGGGCAGAGAAAGACTATCCGGTTGCCGAAGCTACAATGCTGCATGAAGCCAACATGATGCAGGCTCATCCCTCGATGCTGGCCTTTCTGGTTGGATCAGACTTCTGGCCCAATAAGAAGGCCACAGATGTGTATGTCAACGCTCTGAATCGCATGGACTGGCCCAACCCGATCATTGCATCGGCAAGTAAGCGTGGCTATTCCGAGATTCTGGGACCGTCTGGCATGAAGATGGATGGGCCGTACGATTGGGTACCGCCCAATTACTGGTACCATGATAAGCTGGGGGCAGCATTTGGTTTCGGCTCAGAGCAGGGGCCCGGCGTGGGAACACCCGAGCTCGGCAGTTTAAAGCAGTTTATGTCTCACCAGGAATTGCAAAACCTGTGGATGAAGCCAGACGAGCCTCAGTGGCACATGGGTAAGAATGACTCGCCTTTCGCAGACCGCTCCCTGTACAACGAGGGACTTTTTGCGCGGTACGGGCCACCGACCGGACTGGAAGACTATCTTCGGAAATCGCAGATGATGGATTATGAAGCGACGCGAGCGGAATTTGAAGCATTCGCTGTACGCCAGAATGCAAGTCGCCCGGCCACTGGGGTGGTTTACTGGATGTTGAACAGCGTCTGGCCCAATCTACATTGGCAGCTGTTTGATTATTACTTACGACCGGCCGGATCCTATTTCGGGACCAAGGTGGGTGCCCGCTTGGAACATGTCGCTTATGATTACGAAGCGCACACTGTTCATATCATCAATCATTCCCTGGACAAATCCGGAAAGCGGACTGTCACCGTGGACCTGATTGATATCGATGGCAAATCTATGCACCATGAAAAGGTCGCTGCATATACCACCCCAACCGCATCGAAAACGGTAACAGCAGTCCCAGACATAAAGAAAATCAAGGGCGTTGGCTTCCTGAGATTAACCCTTCAGGACGCGGAGAAGGGCACCACCCTGAGCCGCAATGTCTATTGGCTCCCACCCAACACTGAGAGCCTAGACTGGGACAACTCTAACTTCTACACCACGCCCGTCACTAAATACACCAACCTCACTGCGTTGAACCAGATGCGTACCGCATCTGTGTCCGTAAGTGTGAAGACGACCCCCTCGAAACAAGGCTCAACGCTGGCCAAGGTGACGCTCGAGAATAAGTCCGATGTGCCCGCCTTTTTTATGCATTTGATGGTTACCGACGAGAAAGAGCAGGAGCTGGCGCCGGTATACTGGTCTGATAATTATGTTACTCTTTTCCCGAAAGAAAAGCTCACGTTGACGGTGGAGTTTGAGGGAAAGAAGTGGGTAGCTTCGTTGACTGGTGCGAATGTGGAGAAGACAGAAATCGGCCGGGGTTAGGCTATGACTGTGATGAGTAGAATTTGGATGGATAGTGCCTGATCTTGTGGCTATTATCTCTCTGGCTCTTCGATGTTGCTTTACCTGGATGACGGCACCTGTAGCTAGAAAACTCATATATATTCAGCGGATCAAATAACTACACATCAATATTATATGGATTAAATTGCTTCGCACTGGTGCGTCCTTGACCACCTCATATAAAATGGACAACCGAGAGAATACATAGAACCGAAATGATGCTGTCCAATGCAGCTGCATCCTACTCCAGTCTCGATGCCACTCACTTACCTTTCAACACACCCTCGACAACCTTACTATGCTGCACCAATAACTCATCCTTCAATCGTCTTCCAATGAGCTGGATATGGCATGGAGCACCTTCAACCTCTTTCGGGATATCTGTACCTCATTAGCACGACTTTTCTCCGCTGTCTGAATAGGTCACTCACACTTGGGAACGTATTCAATATCACGAACGAAATCAGCATCAGCTGCCTCATCAGCAGTCCCGAAGGGGAGAATGCATGCCGGATACTGCAAGTGATTAGAACCAGATATCCCCAAACATGCCAACGAAGAACATACATCAACCAAATTAGCCAGCATCGTGTAGATCGGCAACCCGAACGTATCGTGCACAGGCGCACAACTCTGATGTCCCGGTGCCAGTATCACGTCGAGCTCATTATCCAGGAACACCTTTCTTATCGCCGCGGAAGCATCCGCCTTCTGAACATTCAGGTCATATAGCTGTCGCAATGTAGGCTCCGGACCTGCTCCGTTAGGGTCATATGTGTATTTCAAAGACGGGACCCAGGGCTCCTCGCTTGCTGCGAGATGGCCCAACGGTATCCTGTCAGGATCCATCTGGAAGAATTGCATTGCGATATCGCTTATCTCTTTGACTGAGGGGCACTTCCCGGTTAGATCAATGATCTGATGGCCTGCTGCGGCAAGCTTCTGCGTTGCGGTTGAGAGTGTCCGCTGGATGTTGGGGTGATATGGCCTCGAGGGATCCTCCGGGAGAAGCCCGATTGTCAACGACGACTTAAGCGGCTCAGTGGGAATCGACCATGGCAGGCCATGCACCTGGTCGTCGACATCCTCGGGATGCGAGTCGGCAACGACTTTGAAAAACAAGTCCGCATCGCGAACAGAATGGCACAACGGGCCAGCCACAGGCGCTATGCCCGTAAGACCCGGTCTGGCTGCACTCGTCTGTCCCGCAAAGGGGACTCTCCCTCCACTCGGTTTAAACCCAATCACCCCACAGCATAACGCGGGAATGCGGATCGAACCCCCGATATCAGTGCCCACGCCTAAAAGCGACCCGCGCAGCGCGACCAGCGCACCTTCGCCGCCCGAACTGCCCCCTGCTGCCAGATTCATCCGGTGAGGATTCAACACCCGCCCGAAGATATTGTTATGCGACTCGGCGGTCATCAACGTCTGCGGGATATTCGTTTTGACGTAGAGCACGGCACCAGCGGCGAGGAGGATATCAACGAGAGCGGAATTCGTCGTCGGGGCAGGTTTATCTATGAAGGAGACGAAGCCCAACGTCGACGGGATACCGGTTAAATTGAAGCAATCTTTCAGACTGATGGGTAGGCCGTGCAGCGGTCCGATTGTCTTGCCGGTTGTGGCGAGATGCTCGTCGAGCGCTTTGGCGCGGGCGAGGGCCACATCGAAGAATGTCTCCGTTAGACAGCTTGTTAGCTGCTGGGCTATTGCTGCGCGTTTACTGAAGGCTGTTGTAACCTCCACTGCGGTGTATTCTTGGTTCGCGATTTTGGCGAGGAGGGCTGTGGCGTCTTCTGTCGTGGTGATGGAGAGTTCGCGGGCCGTGAGGAGTCCCGTTTGGGCTGGGATGTCGAGACAGTTGAGATTGGGGTCTGAGGTGAGTTGGGACTGGATTGAGGCTGGGAGGCGCCATTCCGGGGGGATTTTGGATGCCGCTGTGGCTTGTTTGGTGAGGGCCTTTTCATGCCAGGATTGGATGGTCATTGTGTCGGAACGATCGATTGGCGATAGAAGCTCCGAAACGGGGGGGGGTAGGCTTTAATGGCTAGGGGGTTGGTAAGACGGCTTTATATCATGAGGCTGGAGTTCCCCTCATCTTAGCTGCATGAAGAGGGGTTCGCTGGTGGAGCGTTTGCTAGTGATATGTACAGTCATAGGTCGATCTGGTCTTTACGTAGGCGCTAACTTGAGAGGCTGCAGGTGTCCCGAGGTTCATGCATGGAGGGACATCCAGCATATGCTGACTGGAATTTTGTAATATGTTGGAACTTAGGACTTTTACCGGAAGTGACCAGGTTATGACAAGATCTCCACATATGACTTATATTGCGTGTTGAAGATCTACTCAGGTATCATGATTAGGCTTACGAGGTGTTCCTATGGTCTGGCCATATTCAAAAGTCTCGTAGAGTAGCATCGAGCTCGTCAGTCCGGTTCTCTCACCAAGTAGGACCATTAAAGTGTGTGGGATTATATTACTGGCGACGACCCCTAATGCCGAGATCCAATATCTTTCGAGCCTGTCGCAATTGGGACTTGTGAGCCATTGTCGCAGACTACCAGCAAATCATGCAGTCATCCAACAGGGGTTAAGAAGAAGAAGAGGGTGAGGAGGAGGAGGAGGAGGAGGAGGAGGAGGAGGAG